GCACGCTCAGCTCCTGCCTCTTCTCTGGCTTCTTGAGGAGGGTGATAGTGAAGAAATACCGCCACAAGTCAAAGTGGGGACTAATCCCCAGGAACCCCTCACACAGGGTGACAAATGCCGCAATGTGTTGGATCCCGTTGGGAGTAAGGTGCTGCAGCTCCACATTGTAGTAATTCAATAGCCCCCGAAGGAACTTGTGGGCAAGGGTGGTGAATCCTAGCTCGTGGAAGTGAGCGAAGGACACAATGTAGCCTTTGGGTGGCGATGGTGCGTCCTCATTGCCAGGCAGCCTCCACTCCTCAGTGATGGTCCGCGTGAAAAGAAGGCCATGGCAAATGAGTCCCTCTAGGCGCTGAAGGGTGACATCAGATCTACACCACGGCTCCATTGAACGATTGGGGTGGGTGGATGCGAACTTGATGGCGGTGGAGCTACAGATGCAAGAAGCTTAGGCGATTGGCGGCGGAGGTTGTAGATGCAAAGGCAAGGAGACAATGTACGAAACCCTAGGGGCGAACCCTTCGGTTTTATAGGGGCGACGGATGCGAGGAAGGCAATCGTCCGCCTAGATCTCCGTGCCCCTAATCCCTATCCTTTCCCACCAAAGTCACACCAGATGTTTCGCCTTCCCAGGCAGACCAGGACACTTTACCTATGAAAGGATACAAATCAAAAAAGAATTCCTCCAGCCCGCCTAGGCCCAGGAGTTCGAGGGACTGGCCCATCAACGGTTTCGATGACCATCCCAAGGTGGCCTTACGACGAAGGATAGGCCCACGAGCGGCCAAAACCCAGGCACACGAGCCTCAAGGGAGTCTCGATCCACGATCGAGTCTCAACCAGGCTAACCCTGGACGAATCCCCGCGAATGGGATACCAGGGTTCCCTTTAAGCTATCTAGCTAGCAAAACCACCAAATCTCATAGCCACACCTGTGAAGGGTCCGAATTACCCCCCGGGCGATTCTTTTCGAATCACCCAGGGGCTCGGGGCCTACACCCGTTGGGTGCGCTCGCGCGCACCCTCTGGCGAATCAAAATACCCCCCGGGCAATTCTATCTGAATCACCTAGGGGCTCAGGGGCTACACCCGATGGGTGCGCTCATGCGCACCCTCTAGCGAATTAAAATACCCCCAGGCGATTCTATCCGAATCACCCGGGAACTTAGGGGCCACTGTCAGGGACCGAATACTGGGGTATCCAAAGGGGAGGAGCTAATAACCATCAAGTGTTGATGCTTCTGAACAAATAAGAATGCAACTGCACTTCTTGCCCAAACGACCAAAGGATGGGTCCACCATGCCCGACCCCTGAGGGCTGGCTCCGCCTCGCCCGACGTCCAAGGGTAGGCTCCGCCTCGCCCGATGTCTGAGGGCTAGGCTTCACCTTGCCCGATGTCTGAGGGCAGGCTCCACCTTGCCTGATGTCCTAGGGATGGGATCTGCCTCGCCCGATGTCTAGGGGTAGGCTCCGCCGTGCCCGATGTCCGAGGGTTGGGCTCCGCCTTGCCCAATGTCCAAGGGCAGGCTCTGCCTCCCCTGACATCTAGGGCAGAGTCCGCCTCGTCTGATGTCCGAGGGTAGGCTCCGCCTCGCCCGACATTTGGGGCAGGCACCGCCTCGCCCAACGTCCGAGGGCTAGGCTCCGCCTCGCCCGACATCTATGCGCTACTCCTTCATAACTACGTGTGAAGATAAGGTGGGGCACCAAGTCAACCGCAATATCAAGGACCATACCATGCACACCTGTAGGGAAGTACCATCAGGATATGACCAGACAGGTGCTTTAAGCCCTTCCAGGCATGTTAGAGCCCAAACAGTGTTGTGGGCGCCGACATTTGTCCTACAGTGTTAAGGGCGCCGGCATTTGCCCTCGGACACGAATCCTGACAACATACGATAACCACTATGGTCTAGGAGGAAACTCATGTCATCTATAGTAACGAATTTGGGGCCTCTACACCATCTGCTCTCCGTAGGGTCGTGGCTTGGCACCCTGGCGCGCCGCACCATCCGCCGGAGTAGGATGGGACGTGACCATTAGCTGAACGAAGCCAGAGCATGGCCCTATCAGAATCAGCGAACGTGCTATCCCTGGCATCGTCTATCATGTCAGCAGGGCAGACTCAAAGGAAAAGGAAGACCCGGCACCTTCGAAGGACCTTCTCTGCCTCTATTTTTTCCTCTTTCTCCTATCTGTAATCCCTGCTCCCCCTTGGTCTATAAAAGGGAGGGCAGAGCACCCCACTAAGGGGGATAGATCAATTCGACACACCATGCACCACATAACACACCGTTGAGCAGCAACCAAGCTCTTAGCGCCCTTTCAACCTTTCCATCAGAGACTTGGGACCCGTCCCTCTCTCGACCGTTTGTACCCCTACTACGAACCTTTCAGTGCTAATAACACAAGCAGCAGTAGTAAACTGGACGTAGGGACATTCTGCCCGAACCAGTATAAACCTTGCTCTCAAAGGCTAACTAAAGAACCACACTAACCAAACTAACAAGCTCTCATGACTAGCTACACTAAAGAGCTTGACAACTAGTTTGTGATAATGTAAAGAGAGAGAGCAAGATGGTTATACCAACGAGTCGAAGAATGAACCAATCAATCACAAGAATGAATATCAATGAAGACCAATCACCTCGGAATCAAATGATGACACAATGATTTTTACTGAGGTTCACTTGCTTGTCGGCAAGCTAGTCCTCGTTCTGGCGATTCACTCACTTGGAGGTTCACGCGCTAATTGGCATCACACACCAAACCCTCAATAGGGTGCCGCACAACCAACACAAGATGAGGATCACACAAGCCACGAGCAATTTACTAAAGTACCTTTTGGCTCTCTGCTGGGGAAAGGTCAAGAACCCCTCACAATCACCACGATCGGAGTCGGAGACAATCACCAACCTCTGCTCGATGATCCTTGCTACTCCAAGCCGTCTAGGTGGCGGCAACCACCAAGAGTAACAAGCGAATCCCGCAGCAAAACACGAACACCAAGTGCCTCTAGATGCAAACACTCAAGCAATGCACTTGGGTCCACTCCTAATCTCACAAAGATGAAGAATCAATGATGGAGATAAGTGGGAGGGCTTTGGCTAAGCTCAGAAGGTTGCTATGTTAATGCAAATGGCCAAGAGAGTGAGCTAGAGCCAGCCATACGCCTTTAAATAGAGCCCCCAATGAAATAGAGCCGTTGGGATCACAGAGCACCCTACTGCGCACCGACCAGACGCGCAGGTCGGGGTGACTAGACACACGCCAACCAGCGTCTGGTTGTGCGATGCGTGCCACGTGGCCCCTCGGTTTAACCTCGTCCACGCTATCTCAACGGCTAGTCTGCTTCGCGCCACATGTTAAGTTGTGACCGGACGTGCTGCTCAAAGTAACCGGACGCTTCATCACTGGAGTTCGGTCATTTCCAGTAAGGTCCCAGAGACGGTTTTTCATGACCAGACATGTTCGATCATAGGTGATCGGACACGGACCAGAGTCCGGTCATTTCTGGCCTGTTCAGATGCTTTTGTCAGCGTATGTCATCACCTGACCGAATGCAACCCCAGCACGTCTGGTCCTATTTCTTCTCAGCATCCGGTCAAAGGACCGAGGGTGGCCTTCACTGCGCACCACTGATCGGACGCTGGGTCAGAGTCCGGTCACTGCCCAAGGCAGAGTCCGATCAATACGAAATAGCTCCTTTTGACCCCCCCAAACTTCACCACCCTTGATCAAATGTGCCAACCACCAAGTGTATCACCTTGTGCACATGTGTTAGCATATTTTCACAAATGTTTTCAAGGGTGTTGGCACTCCACTAGATCCTAAATGCATATGCAATGAGTTAGGGCATCTAGTGGCACTTTGATAACCGCATTTCGATACGAGTTTCACCCCTCTTAATAGTACGGCTATCGATCCTAAATGTGATCACACTCTCTAAGTGTCTCGATCACTAAACCAAAAAGCTCCTATCAATTTCACCTTTGCCTTGATTTTTTTATTTTTCTCTTTCTTCTTTTCCAAGTCCAAGCACTTGATCATCACCATGGCATCACCATCATCATGTCATAATCTTCATTTGCTTCACCACTTGGAGTAGTGTTACCTATCTCATAATCACTTTGATAAACTACGTTAGCACTTAGGGTTTCATTAATTCACCAAAACTAAACTAGAGCTTTTAGACCTCTAGAGGCGCCGGTGTGTAGTGGAATCCTATGCCATAATAGTAACTTGAAGAGAGACAGAGGAAGACCGAAGTTTACTTGGGTAGAGGCAATAAAATGAGACTTGAAATGATGGAATATACCCAAAGACTTAGTCTTAGATAGGAGTGCTTGGAAAACAGCTATTCACGTGCCTGAACCTTGATTGCTTCTGCTGGGTTTCAACTCTAGCCTACCCCAACTTGTTTGGGACTTAAATGATTTGTTGTTGTTGTCGTTGGTAACCGAGGTACCACCCTGAGATACTGGCCATGGATTCTATCCATAAGAACACCTTGAAGTGACTCCGTCAGCTCACCCGGCACATTCTCAATTCTTCCATTGATTTCTTGATCATGAAAACGTTCAGTAGCAAAATTCATGGGTGTGTATTTGTCTGACCTCTTGAGCTTGAGTGGCTTCTTGAGGACCGTGGACAACCCACAGATGTCTTGAGTAGTAAGGCGACAATGGCGCTTTGCTGACAAAGTCTGGGTAATCAACTTGATATGAGACGCTAGCGCAAAGCAGCTAGTGATAAAGGCATCAAAATTGTGCAGCATTGCTGAACCGACAGCGCATTTGAGAGACGTCTTGACAGCAAGTGAGCAGGTATGGAGTTCGTCGCTGTGGCGATAGCAGTGATCGTCTTGAATGAGGCGAACTGCAACGAGGAGGTCGGCCCGAGCCAGACAGAGGTAGCATAGGGCCTCATAGGTCAGGAGGTGGCGGAAATAGGATGTTAGGAAGCAGAGGAGGCCCCCCAACGAGCACTCCACAAGGGTCTAGGCTTCCGGCGGAGAGGAGGGGCCGTCGCCTGCAATGATCTTGGAGAGGACCTCCTCCCTCACCCTTGCCTCCCCTAAGGCCTTCGTATTCAGCTTCTTCAGCTTGCGCTTCCGCTTTTTGGCGCCGTTGGGCTCGGGTTCAAGAAGCGCAGGCTCGCTAGCCTCCTCGGTGTCGAGGAGAAAGAAGAGCATGTTGGCGATGATGTTGGTGACGGGGTTGGTGAATCCGATGCACACGCCGACGTCGAGGAGGCACGGGGCAAGCACTGGCATGTCCTCCAACGGCAGCGCGCAGAGTGCCTCCTCGTAGTGCTCGTAGATTACTTCCAAAAGCTCGCCCGCCCAGGTGCACCAAATGCCCGAGCCGCCACCGCGCTGCCATCGGCCTGCCATGTTCCGTCGGTCGAAAGAGGGGAAGTGGGAGCTGGCACTAATTTCCTATTTCTTTTTCCTTTCATGGTTTTTCTTTTCGATTTAGGGCCTCATCAATCCTTTAGCATTGATTTAGGGCCTCATAGATCCATAAGCATTAAAAATTAGCAGCTAAAATTAATATCAGACGATTCAACAGTCCTGCTAATAATAACTAAAAGACTGCTATATATTAGATATACACCTCTAACTCACTGTCCAACCACCTATTAGGACAAATGCATTGGTATTGTCACATAGATAGTCTTATGCAGGGTCACGTAATTATGAGACAACTTAAGAGGAAACAAGTACAATAATTTATCTTTTAAGTTGTATCATAGTAATTCTAGGATCCTTAGTTTATATGCATACAACAATGTTTGTGAGTTGGATGACATGCCTTTAAAAACAACCATTTGTACAATGGTGTATAAGTTGTCTCGTAGTCCTAAATTTCAGCTCATGAGGTAGTTGCTTCACAAAACAACCACCTCTTTCTCTTACCTCGCTCTCTCTCTTCCATTCGATGTGGCACTGCATAAGACAACATACGAACTGCTTACGTGTGTCAATGTACTTACCCTTAGTAGGTGGATCCAAATAGACAGATCCAAACAGACACTTAGCTAGGGTTTCACTAGGGATGGCAGTGGGGCGGTTTTGGGCCGGGCTCCGCGGATTTTGGGTCCAGCGGGTCCGTGTTCAAGTTTGATTCTCCACCACGATTTTCGTCGGACCCGAAACTTATCGGTTCAGTTTCAGGTTTTGGTTTCCACACGCGGATATCCAATGGGGGTTCGAAATAGACCAGAAACTCATGTGTTTTTTAATATAAATTGTTTGCGTAACTATTAAGTTTGTTCTAAGTTAAGGCATTAATTTTTGTGTTGTTTATTACCTCTTGTTTATACATGTGAACATGTAATATATCATGCATTTGTTGCTAGAAAATCTTTATTGGTTTTTTTTGTATTGCCATATAGTGGTGGTTTCAGGTTTAGGGGAACCAATCGGGTTCCGGGAAACCACCGGGTTTGGTTTCGGGTTTGGATTATCACACGAAATGATATTGGGACAGTTTTGAGTTTTGAGTTGGAGTCCGTGGAGACTCGACCCGGTCCGAATCCGCTCTGTTACCATCCTTGAGCAGCTCCACTCTGGAGTTACCAGAGCAGATGAGCAGGTGGACCTATTTGATATGTAGCTCTGCTATGCTTACAGGATAGGAGGTTTTAGTGACAATAGCCAATTTTGCCCTTAAACGTTGTATGCTGTATCTTATTATTTTAAAAATCATTCACAAAAAAATGTTAACAAATTTTGTAAAAAATAAACTCTTTCATATCCGTATCTTACTAGGAAGTGATTTTTCCATGGCATCTTCTAATGCTATGAAACAATTTTGCATTACATTTCAGAAACAAATCCTCAACGAAGCAGGGAAAAAAAGAGAGGGCCTGCTTGGTTGCAACTTTCAAGCCAAAAACAAGTGCAAGTTCAAAGGATTTGGCATGTAATTGGATTGCTGCCCAAACATTAGCAATTTCTTCCAAAATTTTGGCAAGACAACATTGATCTCTCTTGCTGATAGCAGACAAGTACCAACCTTAGTTACCTTACCAAAATATTGGCTTGCCCTAATATTGGTGTACCCACATTTTGGCTTGCTTTAAAATTGGCATGGCAAAGATTGGTGTTCAACCAAGCCTGAAGAACAAATAAATAATATTCTATCTAAAAATTAATTCAAACTCATCAGTGCTCCTCTGTGCTGCGAGCATGGTGGTCTGGGAGGCCCTGGGCGGTCGGTGCTAGGCCATGGCCACCTGCACTCGCCTCTAGGAGGTCGTAGCCAGTCGTGGCCCCAGCTTGGCCGCCCGCCCCAGGCAACCTTGCCCCAGTGAGGATCTAGTCGCGCCGTCGCTAGCTTTGATCCTAGGCAATTTGCCACTTGACTCATGAGGAACTAGCCGCTTGCCGCTGGCTTGGCTGCCGAACCCTCGGCGCCGGAGTAGATTCACGAGCAGAAGGATTAGGGATTTGGGAGTTCGGGGAAGACAAGATAGAGAAGATTTGGGGTTCAACAAGGGATCCATCCTGACCAGCATCGTCAGATCTATCCATCCTGGCCATCATCTCGCTAGAGCATCACCGGAGGTAGGCAGAATAGGGCGACGACGCTAGGGTTTCGTGCTGGCTTCTACGCTTGCTGAACAGAGAAGTCACGAGCGAAGGTGGGAGAAGAACGTCGAGAAAAAAGAACTGTCGAATCGACAAGGAGGATTGTGTAATGAGTGGTTGTGGTAGGTAATTTCCCACCAACTCTATGAGGAGGTACATGAAGCCTTGTTTCCGGAGTACTCTTGAGGAGCGCCTCAAAAAATATAGAGTTGGCCCTTAGCTCTGTCTTTTCCTTGGAGCAAAGATTTTAAAATTGGACCTGTTTATCTAGACAAGTTTGGAGCAGAGTTGGAAAAGCGGGTAGTCCCAAATAGGCCCCTAAGTACTCCGATACTAAAAAAACTACTCTCTCCATTCTAAAATAAATGCATATCTCACTTTGGAGGAGTCAAACATTTTTTTGCTTGACTAAAAATAAAAAAAAAATATCAACATTTATATATTCAAATGTTTATTATAAAAAGTATATTTAATACTCAATCTAATAAAACTTATTATACATCATAAATATTAATATATTTTTATATAAATTTGATCATACTTTAAAAGGTTCAACTGTTCGGAAAAGCGAGACGGATATTTATTTAGAAGGAGGGAGAATGTTTTAAATAGCGGGCCAAGGTGTTTAGCAGTATATCTCTAAAACAGCTAATAGCGGAGCTATATTAGGCTATAGCGGGATATAGCGGCTAAATTATATATGAACTCAAATAGTGGCATCTTGCCTCAAAAAGCTATAGCGAGCTATAGCGGCAACTATAGCGAGAGATTTAAAACCAGAACAAATGTGATCCTGTGGAGCCGCATGGGTTACGGTTGGGTAGCCTGGCCGATTTGGCCACCGAGGTCCAAAAAAATCCTTGTGGAAAGAGGCAGCGGATCTGCAGCCAAGGCCCTCTAGGGCCCAGGCCCTAGTCTTTGGCTCAGTAATACGGAGTATTACATATACGATGTATTTTTCAGCCCAATAACAAAGGCCCAGCAGCAAACCTAGAGTCCTCACTCTCCTCAGGCCTCACCCATCCCTGCTCGTCTGTCCGTCTCCCTCGCTCCGTCGCACGAGCGTGCGCCCGCACGGGAGGAGGCGAGGTCGCGAGGACGGAGGAGCTAGCTGCCTGCCGGCGCGCCACCCAGCCGGCCGCCGCTGCGCCGCACGCCGCCGGAGGCTAGGCCTCCTATCCCACCGCGGCGCCGCCCATCCCGCCCGTGCCCTCCACCTCCAGGTCGCACTGGTGCCGCGCCGGCCGCCCCTGCCCTCCAGGCTCCAGCTCCAGATCACTGGCCCACTCGCAGCGCGCAGGAAAACGCAGGAGCAACCCGCCCACTCGCCACCACCGCCCGCGCGCACGGCAGTGACCGCTGCGGCAGAGGAGTAGCAGATGGCGCCGCTCGTGCCGATGTCGCAGCCATGGATAGAGAAATAGTAAGCCCGCACCCCTCTGTCTCTTCCCCGGGAATTTGGAATGAAGCACTGGCGGTTCTCTCTAATCGCGCCTGTTCTTGCTGGGGTTGCAGTCGGCCGAGGCAGGTCAAGGATGTGGCTCACCAGGAGGAGGTGATTCGGGTGCTCACAAACACCCTCCAGACCGCCGATGTGAGCAAGCGCTAAACCCTAACCCCTTTTCCGCCCCCACAAGATTTCTTCTTTTTATTCGTGGAACCCCCTTGGAGATTTTCTTATTTGCTGTTTGGTCACTTGCAGCTGCCGCACATGCTGTTCTACAGCCCGCCGGGGACAGGAAAGACCACTACCGCACTCGCCATCGCCTACCAGCTCTACGGGTATACCCTCGTGCTGGACCCTTTTCTTTTAGTGTACGCTTTCTTAATTTGGTTGTGGTAGTATGAGTAGTGTGCTATATAATCTTGGATTGTCTGAGACTTGCCAGTTGCTACTGTAATGGAGCAATTGATGGCGAGTGCAGCTTGCTTTAGTTGATCCTTTGATATTACTGATGATTATATACCCTTCAATGCCAAACAAAATACTCCTTTTTCTTTTAAAATGGTCAAAAGAACAGCAACAGTTGTGGAGATCCCTAATTTACTTGAATTTTCAGCCCATTCTAAGGTTCCCTAAGCATTTTTTAGCTTGAATGCTTAAGGGCCTGTTTGGTTCATCCCTCCTAAAGTTTAGTGACTAAACTTCAGTCACTTTTAGTCACTAAAATGCCAAACACCCCAACTAAAGTTTAGGGTCCACTAAAGTTTAGTGGCTTTTAGTCACCAAGAGGTTGTTAAAAGTGACTAAAGTGTACATGGGACAGCTGCTTTATTGGTCTTTAGTCACTATAACCAAACAGGGGGTCACTAAACTTTAGGGGGTGGAACCAAACAGGCCCTAAATTTGTTGGAGGTCCTGTTAGAGGCTCTACATATGTTTGTAAAAATTTGTTTTTTTTTGGAAGGTTGATTATTTCCATCAACGATGGACCATCAAAATATTCGAAATTTATAATTTTTTTTTTTTGGGGTGAAGATTGGCATGTCTGTTTGTACAACCTCAACCCATGTATATGTTGGTGCTTATCACTGAGTCGAATGATACATAGTCAAGTTACTTTCTTGATGCAACAGAACAGCAGCAAAATTAAACTATATGTGTTTAAAATAGCCATTTAATAGGAACTCTGACTAATACAAAAGTAGCAGAGTATGATTTCCTCTTTAACTCACAATTTTTTTAACTTGTTGAGAATGACTGTCAGACAATCAGCATTGCCTCTCTTATCTGTTTTATGCATGTGGATGTGGTGATTAATTTCTCAGATTTATTCATGAAATTCGCATATTCATTC